ATTCAAAGATTTCCATTTTTGTTAAAATTAGAAAAAGATTCCTTTTTTAAAAAAAACTTTCCATAGTAAAATGGGATTTTAAACAATGCTACACACCACTGTAAATATCTACAATCTACTGCTATAAACAACATAGGTACAAAATGTTAAAGTACAAATAAATAGTGCAATTACTACACAAATCTTACCTACTCTTCATATAACTAAATTATAGTTCGGCCGCTTAGAAAGCGACCTCCTCCAGCATTGGTTTAGCATTAGTGCGCAGGTCGTTTTCTAAGCGGCCAAACTATAGTTTTTACACCACTAATACGATAACACTTTTACAACATCAACACCCTGCTGATTTACATAGATGTTAAACAAGATTAACATTTTCACTATGCCAAAAATGTGTGTCATTAAGAACACTGTTATAATAATTCTGATTTTTTCGATACACCTTGTAAAACATCCTCCAATTTTTTGCAATATCACTTCTAAGCAACAACAGATGTTGTATTTCATGCTCTGTCCACTTAAAATCAATTTTGAGTAGATCTAAAGTACTACGACTCATTTTCTGTTTTAAGAACATAGGTCCACCCTGCACCCTTAGATCTCTGGCAGCTTTTGCGACTACAGTTTCTTTACGTTGCACGCATTCTCTGAGTGAGGTTAATGACCAGTTGTACAGAGTCATAGCTTCCATCGTCTCATTCCCATTCCACCTTTCCGGGCTGGTAAAAACTTTGCAAAGGAATCCATCTAGGCTCTCAAGAAGAGGGAATGATCTTGTCGAAAAACAACAATATTCTAGTATTTTTAAAAGAAGTATAAACAAACTGATGTCCATTATTTGCATTATTGTGTGTCAACCAATTCAATTCCATCCTGGCTGAGTAACTGTGTCTTATCTGATGGTTAGAATCTGATTATAATCAAGCTTTCTTATCAGACGGAACAATAAGAGATTCATTTATTGAATAATATAATGTAATACATGATTTGAGCCATATAACTTTTGAGATTTTGACTGATGCTTTCGTTAGACTACAAAAGATATTGTAAACTTCATGTTTAAACAAGTGTTAGCGTAAATTTACTGTATGTATGAGGCCTTTGCGCTAACATTCTATATTATTGAAATTTAATTTTAAAATCTTTTTCTAGTGGTGTAGAACTAATTTATGAAACTTTTAAAATAATAAATATGATTTGTTTTGTCATTCAACCAAAACCTATGTTGATCAAGTTTCAGATTATAATTATTGCAATTATTAAAGTATATATACAAATATATAGTAGGAAGGTGAATGAGTGAAAATTTAAAAACGTACGTTTTCATGTCCCTGGCCTTTTACCATAGACAAAAAGAATTAAATATAGACCGTCAGCTGTGCTGCGGTTACCGTAGGTTCTGGCGCACACCGCTTGGAGCACCACGGTAGTTACGGCGTACGCGCTACGTAAACTACAGCGGTGTGCGCCGGAACCTATGGTAACCATGGCAACCGCAGCACGGCTGACAGTCTATATTTCATTCTTTTTGTCTATGCTTTTACTTCGTAGATACTGGATTTGTAGTTTATTATTATGTGTTTTAATATTTTTTGAGACGGAGGCAACATGTTACACACATTTATTTGGTTTTAAATAGGTTCTAGGTATTTTTTCGTATTTTTAAAGTCTCGAAATTCACGACCATGACGTGTCCCTAGGGTACATTTTCCAACTTTCACACTGTTTTTAGACTAATTATTCATGCCGAAATAAATAAAGCCATATTTTTATGTCATCAATGGTTATTAAACTTACAAAAAAGGAGCATATTATAATTTTATTGTCATTGCAAACTGACTACCATGGCAAAAGAAGTCTGTCCCTCCATTTGGCGTCACGACCATTTGGGAAAGATTTTCAACTTTGGAGCACGACAGTGGCAAGCCTGGCGTCGATGGAGTCAGTTGGTTTTAGAGACTAGTTCGGGGTGTACATCAGGATTGTAGTGCCAGTCGTTTCGAGTTGAAAGGAGGAATTACAAGATTAATAAAGGAAAGATTGTGTTTTTTGTAATTTTGGCGTGTCCATGACCATACGTAGTCATTCGATGAAGTAGACATGGTGTTAATTTTTGTTTATAAGATATTTCAATTGCTAGTTTAACCTAGAAGTCCACTTTGTATTCTCGAACATGAGGTGCAGGGCTACCATCAGAACAGAGCCAAATAACACGTAATTTCACGACCAAAGTTTCACAACCATCGCGGGTTTTTTCACGACCAATCCAGCCTTATGGATTATGGTGTGTTTGGTCGTGACAATAACTTTAATATAATTGTAATTTGAACAGTTTAGTTCAATTGAAACACATATTTTTATTATAACTAACAGTATAATTGAAGGATTGTTTAGAAAGATTTAGATTATTTCAGACAATTCACGACCATACCGCTTGTATCATCACGTACCATCACGTTTATGATTTCTATCATAAAAATTTCAAAAATTAAAATATTGTCATATTTCAATGTTTTATACACAAAAGAAGCACACCTCTATACAAACATAACGATTTTTCGGGTCTCAGGTAAGTTTTTTCGGAGTTATACAAACATAAAAAGATTTTATTGGCTTTTTTCAATTTTTTGAGTTTTTTTTATTTTTTTCTAGAAAGACCAAATATACCAAAAGCTCAGTGACCTTTTTGTTGTATAATGGTCATAAAAGTAAGTTAGTTTATAGCAAAACACAGTTATAAAAATAATATTAACTATTTGTAATATTCATTTAAACGTCTGTTATGGTCGTGACAGGCTTTTGCGTTTTTCCACTAAAGATGCTCCTTTAAAAAAAAAACTAACAAAGATATTGCGTTACCATGGACATTTTATAAAACTTAAAATGTTAATAAAATAAAAAAAAATAATAAAAGTTTTGAAAAAAGGGGAAAAAAATTGCAAAGTGCTTTTCCTGAAAACGTACGTTTTTAAATTTTCACTCGAATAGGGAAATGTACATGTCCACACTAGTCATTTCATTTTTAGAAAACTATAATTTAGTACACGTTCTTACGACACCGAAACAGTGTGAATTTAAAGGTGATGATGAAAGTGAGTGACGAGTCTTGAAAAAATTAGATGGTAGCTTTGTTAACGACTTTTAGGTACTTTCACGAATATTAGAACAGAAACGGTATGGATCATAAACATAAACAAATTATGTAACTGGCCCAAATAAAGTAAACATTATTAAACATTTAACATTACTTAAACTATTGTTGTTCTGCCCGTGCCTCGCCACGGGGAGAGAACACAGAGAAGATATAGTGATCCTTTAACGCCGTCTAATGCATACTGCTGGTTGATTAAGCGCTTGTTTTTATGTAAATTGTTTTCATCAATGTCCTTGTCACAAGAAAAAATACTCTACAGATTAGTTTTTCCCCAGTTGGAACGCATAAGGCTCGGCCAAATTCTATGGTTCTTCTTTCACTTAATTATTTACACTACATTTGTCTGCAAAATAAATTGCTGTGTTTTGATTTTGATCAAAGCCAGCTTTTCTCCAAAAATGTCATTTCTTTGTTATTTCATGGCTTTTTATGGGAAAATAACATCATTTACAATCACTTTTGAACCGTAATTTTTACGGAAATGGGATTTGTACCTTTCTGTTCAGAATTCAAAGGACTATAACATACTCAATTTTTATTAAAATCGTTCGGGCCATTTTCGAGAAAATCCAATTTTTCCGTTATTTTATGGTGTTTAATGGGACATAAAAATACAATGTCCATTAACGGACAAAACCCATTAAAAATCCAAATTTCAAAAAAGTGAAAAAAAACGTTCAAAATTGTAAGGACCACAACATACTAAGTTGAATCAAAACCGGTTTTTTTTCTAAAATCCTATTTTTTGTTATTTTATGGGGTTGTTATGGGAAAATAACATAATTTACAATAACCTTTGAACCGTAATTTTTAAAGAAATAGGAGTCATGCCATTTTGTTCAGAAGGGCTACAACATACTAAGTTTGTATCAAAATCGTTCGGGCATTTTTGAGAAAATCCGATTTTTCCGTTATTTTATGGGTTTTTATGGGAAAATCAACATTAAAAATCAAAATGAAAAAAATGAAAAAAAACACCTGGAGATACCATGGATTAGTAAGGCTACCTACATACCAAATTTCATCAAAATCGGACTACAGGTGTGGTCTGTAGCTCCGTACACATCCAGACACACAGATATCACTTCGAAAACCACTTTTTTGGGTCCAGGGGGACCCAAAACGGATATATCCACTCAAAACTCAAACTCGAAAATTTTGACGAAAACAATACTTTCTCCATATACTGGTATAGGGGGAGAAAGTAACAAGCTGGTGGGGAAGTTGTTTTGAGAGGTTATCTTCACGTGAACAGTAATTTTGTTTTCTAACTTAGTTTATTAAATAAAATATTTGAATTTATTGTTGAAATATTAAGTGTTTTTAAAATATTAAAATATTGAATATTGTGATCAGGACTTAGTTTGAAAACACTCAAAAGTTAATAAAATATTCAATATAGGGTACTACTTTTTTACACATAAATACTCTCACTAGGATAGTTAATTAACCACATTGTTTTAAAACTGGTAAATATATGCAATATTTCAGAACTCCAAAAACTTCAGAACAGAGCTTGTAATCTGTATTTGTAATAACATTTCTCCCACGAACAACATTGAATAACTAACTGTAAAATAGCTTGTTATCTACACTACTTACTGAACCACTTGTTATCACTAAAATGGACATCCGGTAACTGTTTAGAGATCCAATTTTTTTGTTTTATAATTTCACATTACAAACCTTGAAAATGTTTAAAGGCTTTCAATTTTTTTTTTTAAACAAAATAGTTAGTCCACCATGTGAGAGGTTTCACATTGTGTTAGCTTGTTGAAGTGATTTTATATTAGTTAATTATACAAGCTGACTATTGTAGTTTGGAATACCTTATAAGAAAGTGAAGATGGAGCAAGTAGTCAACGAAGAATTTGAGTGTCAAAGTTGGGAGGAACAACTCGGCGATGTTGCAGATGAGCCAGCTCTTTGTGAAAGCATTCCTGACTTCATAGTTGCTAACATAAAAAAACTAAAAGAAACGGAAAACACAACTCTACGACAAATCGCCCAGAAATACACGTTTCCCTTGTCATACGATGAAGTCAGAGATCTCTGCAGATTGAAGATGAAGTTTCAAAAGGACGACCAATACTTCTCTATGTCCATGCCACAGCTGGGATACCCAAAAAGAGGTATAATATACTTTATGCCTAAGTATATCAAGAAAATTGAACCGAAAGACAAACATCCTACTTACATGCTTCTAAATCCAACATACGAACCAGTCGAAGGTACAGAGGTCCTTGTTGACTATGAAAAGTGTGCATCGGTCAAAAGCCTATGTGGATTAGTCCCGCGATACAATGAGATTAGGTACAAAGCATATAATCCTTTCGGAGAACTTGAGGAGGGTACAATACATGGCCACACGGCGAGATGCATTCAGCATGAGATTGATCATTTGAACGGATTGCTGTTTATTGACAAAGCTCAACATATCATCACTATCAAGGAACATCGGTGGAGAAGAAGTATAGGAAAACTTCAATTTTTGATGGATATTTAGATAGAAATGGTTTTAGATTATCCCTGAATACCAGACAGAAGTTACTTGTATGCTATGTGTCGCACAACCTTCACTGTGATTCTATTGTATCATTAATTTAAAATCAAAAGTTAAAAAAACAAGTTGGGTTTGATCCTACGTTTTGTGATAAAAATACACTTAATGTGTGATTTATTATTACATTATTTACCACTTATTCCTTCTTGTGCTTGACTTAAATTTTCTTAACGAATTGTTAAAAAACATACTAAGGTTTCACAAAATTTTTAATGTACGTTATACAAAAGGTTAGTAACCTTTTAAACAAAATTGTATTGTAGTTTGTATGGATATATAATTGAACCTACCAATACGTTTTTTTTTACATTTAATATGCTCAAAACCAATTTCTGTAACCTGCTACTTTAGGAGATACATAAAAAACAATGATACATGACAAATTTGTCTGATTAGAGGTTTATTGCACAAACCATAACGATGTTTTCTGTCAACTTCCAACTGAGGTACAAGTTTATTATCATACCATATAGTCCAGTAAATCTGTCAGAAAAAATGGGGTTGCTGTGCAAAAGGTCGGGTAGTTCTGATTTTTGGATATGTTGTTAGTATTGGGCCCATAACATAAAATCCAAGTTATCCACCTCGAGATACTGCCGCTCGCCGCGGGGCGCGCCACTTGTTATCGAAATATCAAAAATATGGCAATTCCTATTGTTTTGCACTCAATCTCGCGAACCGTTGATTTTACCGAAAATTTTAGATTATTACATTAAAGAAGAATAAATTTGTGACAGTTTTAGCCCAACAGCATGTATGTAGCGTAAATAATGGTCAAAATACAGACCATCAAAATAAATAAATTTTCCAAAGACGTATAAAAATTGTGGTTTTTTTTCAATATTTCCACAATATAGTTGTTTGAAGCAAACACCGTATTGATTTAGAGAGTATACCAGTTTATTTGCTATTAATAGAAAATAAATGAAAGTATGAATAAAAATACCCCCACCTCAGCAAACCTGCAGACTAAGAGAATTTCCATTTGCTTGATTTGATTTTCACAAACCTTAAATAACATTAGGTTTAACTGGTACCTAGGTTTGCTACAGGTTTGTTGGATTTTGCTACAGGGAGGTTAATATATTATATAAAATAATAATAGTATGACAATAAATAAATAAATTTACCCAATTTTATAAAAATGTGTCTATAAATAAGAAAAAAAACAAAATTTAAAAATCTTCGCTATTGGAATACTTTAGGTTTTTAATTTACATTTTTTAACTTTCTCCGTAACCAATAACTGTAAAAAACATTTTAATGTAATAAATTATTTGTTTTTAAGCTCTACAAAATTCTTTAATGATACAATTGCAAAATTGTATGCTTTGAGGGTCAAAAATATGAAAAACCCGTTCTTAACAAAAAAACCCTATAAAGCAACCATTCCCATGGCCTGATCATGCTTCGCGAACTCGTTTTAATAAATGTAGGTTTACATGCCGAAAAACAGACCTCCAAAATATACCTTCAACGGCAAAACTACTCTTCCCAAGGCTGTCAAATGTTTACACATAAACATTAAAGCTAAGCTTTGGGTACAATACTTGCACATGAAAACAAAATAAAACAGTTTAACATAGTCAACAGTTTATTGAGGCTGAATTATCAGGCAAATATTGATTGAATCGAGGACGAGGAAAACAGACAAAATGTTGTAACTTGATGGGCACTTGGGATGATCCGTCCTCATCAAATCTGTAGGAAGTTGAGAAATAATATAAAAAATGACGTCAGTTGAACATTAACAGTGAGCAACATGTTGACGTGCGCCATTCTCGCATTGCTCGAGACAACGAAATTGATGAAAAGATTAAATAGTGGTTTCCTCAACAAACACCATTCAAAACAAATGATATACTGATTATTAGCAAATTTCCCTTATAGGGAATACGCTATTACAGTAGGTCTTATGGTAAGACCTAGACCTGGGACCGATTTACTTTTTCATTTTGATATTCCTAGAGGCCAAAAATACATAGTTTTAAGTTTAGTTTTAGTTTTTAGTACAAACAAATATAGTTTTAAACATACCTCACGATACTATTGTTCAAATGGATGAGTAATAATCATTTCGTGCTGTGTAGAGTGCACTTCAAAGTTTTAGTTTCGTACGTTGGCAATAACTTGCGTACACCTATTTGACCTTGAAGATAGTTTTGGTAATAAATTATAATACAAATAATAACATATTAATGATAAAAATGAGTAAAAATAGCTTGCATGTCTGCAGGGCTACAAATGGTTCGCATATTGAGGTGTGATAGTGTTAAAATAACTTTTATTTTATTACCTTTCATTTAATGTATCAGCATAGCCTTCTCTATGGTATCAGTCGTTGAACAGTAGTTTGTATCTAGTACAATAAAAAAATAAATTTTCAAACTAGGTGAGTTTTTTGAAGACCCTGTATCCAAAAAAAGCTAAAGATTTTACTAAACTGTATCCAAAAAAGTTATTATCGTCCGTTAGCACGATGATTCCCAAAAATCATCCGATTTAGTGGAATTTGTTACAAACATTACTTTTATTTGTGAATCAAGAGATAGACTATTTAACATTTACTTTGTTTCGCGAAGTATGATCGGCATGATAAGGCCATAGGAACGGTTGCCTTATAGGTAGGTGTTTCGCCGGTAAGAATATTTTTTTTAATTTTTAACCCTCAAAACATACAATTTTACAGTTGTATTATTAAAGAATTTTGTAGAGCTTAAAAACAAATAAATTATTACATTAAAATGTTTTTTACAGTTATTGGTTACGGAGAAGGTTAAAAAATGTAAATTAAAAACCTGAAGTTATTCCAATAGCGAAGATTTTTAATTATTGTTTTTCCTGATTTATAGACACATTTTTATAAAATTGGGTAAATTTATATATTTATTGTCATACTATTATTATTTTATATAATATATTAAACTCCCTGTAGCAGCAAACCTAGGTACCAGTTAAACCTAATGTTATTTAAGGTTTGTGAAAATCAAATCAAGCAAATGGAAATTCGCTTAGTCTGCAGGTTTGCTGAGGTGGGGGTATTTTTATTCATACTTTAATTTATTTTCTATTAATAGCAAATAAACTGGTATACTCTCTAAATCAATACGGTGTTTGCTTCAAACAACTATATTGTGGAAATATTGAAAAAAACCACAATTTTTATACGTCTTTGGAAAATTTATTTATTTTGATGGTCTGTATTTTGACCATTATTTACGCTACATACATGCTGTTGGGCTTAAACTGTCACAAATTTATTCTTCTTTAATGTAATAATCTAAAATTTTCGGTAAAATCAACGGTTCGCGAGATTGAGTGAAAAACAATAGGAATTGCCATATTTTTGATATTTCGATAACAAGTGGCGCGCCCCGCGGCGAGCGGCAGTATCTCGAGGTGGATAACTTGGATTTTATGTTATGGGCCCAATACTAACAACATATCCAAAAATCAGAACTACCCGACCTTTTGCATACCAAAATGTCTTATTTTACTGGACTAATATTCAAGCTAGATTTAATGTACAGTACTTTTTCAAAATCTTTAATAAGAACCAAGTTTTGTGATTCACAATCTCATTAATAAAAACTAGTGTATCTGTTGCTCGAATTCGACCAATTGCTAGGTATTACAGTATTACATTATTTTAAAACGAATAACAGTCATAATTCCTGATGACTTTAAAATATTCGACTCAAAGATTATGGAAATACTCAAGATTTACATAACAGATCGATATAATCAACATTTATTGTGTATATTGTTTTCTACAAATAGCCTTACTCATAGCCGCATTAGGTTTCCAGACACATTATGTGTCCAAAAACCTAACAGCACTTCCCCATACCGCCTTGAGCGTTAGGGATCCTTGAGATTCGCTATAACCTTTCCTCTCCCACTCATGGGCAAGTTATCATTTCTTTTCTTTCTTATTATTTTTTTAATTTTTTTTTTAAATTTCATGCCTGTATGAGTTCCTGGTTTTTCGTATTTCCCTAGCTACTGTTCTAAACGTCTCAATTGTTTCCCTGTCACTCATCATGTTTTATTTTCTCATCTCTAGACCTATCTTATCCAAGATTTATTCATGTTCTCTCCTATTTGTCTCCTGAAGTGAACAATTTATAAATACGTGACTCGTGATTTTTATTTCTCCACATCTACATACTACCTCTTCCACCATGTGAAATCTTCACAAATTCGCCTTGAAGTTTTCCATGTCCTGTTACAAACTGCTTTCATAATGACCCATCTCCCAATCTTGTCCAGGCTCTTTCTGATGTTAGTTATACATCCAAACATTTACCTTTAAAACGTTAACATAAAACACTCTGCTCCCAACGCATTTGTCACACATCTAATATCTCATCCTCTCTTCTATTTTCGATGTAGTCCTACCCGCCTCCTTGTCTTCCAAAATCAACAGCTTATGCAGCAATTATCCAACAGTCCTAACTGAATGTAAAATCTTCAGGCGGCTGTTGGAGAGCACACTTAAACCCAACACGGAAGGGTGCTTGCTGTATTCGATGATTTGTATTTCGTTCTCGTCTACCAGTTAAAGTTCGTCGGCCTCCTCCTATTGGCCGTCCTAGTCAACGTCTCATAGTCTCCATTATGTTGAAAATTTTTTTTTGTTATGTTTTGATTTTGTACAAAATTTTAGTATAGCCAGCTGTTTAAAATATTAGTGTAAATTTCAAAGTATTCATCTGTTCAAATGAAACAGCTAGATGGATATATGCCGTACATTTTCTCCCTAAGAATAACATGGGAACTTTGAAGGCCACTGGGGCAGAGCCCTGATGGAATTCCAAAGTTATTTTGTTTGATGGCAAAACTACATGCTAAGACCTTTCTAAAGACACCTTGGACATGGTGATCGGTTGTTCCACTACTCCAAAACAATTATGACAAAAATATGCCTATTGTCGGGACCACGTAAGTTTGCAGTTGGTGGCAGCCAATCACAAGACAAGGCTAGTGCGACGTTGCCACATCGCCCGTTGACAACACTAATTAAAATATACTAAGCAATATATTAAAATCAGCTGGTATTAACAGATTTGGCAACACCGCACGGTTCTCATTGGTTCATTCAAAACCATATGGTAAATAGGCTCCTCCCTCAACTGCAAACTTACGTGGTCCTGACAATAGCGTATTAAATATATAGATACTTAATATCCCTACCTACTTCATTCACTTATAACATTATTACAAGAAAGTACAAATTTGGATTCATTACTTAGCTAAAGAATTTTAAAAAGCAGAGTATGAATGAAAATTGAGTGTTAGATGGATATATGCCTTTTGCAGCTATGTTATTGACTAGACTAGCTGATTCTCTAGCCAGGATGATTTGGAAAAGACTGAGGGCTAAGTCCCAACAAAGGAATATAAATCCATAAAATTGTGAGAATATAGGTATACTAATCGGAAAATCCTGAGTAAGAATTGGAATTAGTTAGGTTCTGCATTCACATTCATTCCTTATCATTTGATCAATCTATTATATTATTAAAGTCATACAATCAAATTGTATGTAAACGGTTAAGGCTATTTACCAAATAAAAGTATAGTCATATGGCACATCAAAATGAAGCTTAAGAGTGTAGATTTGCTGAAAAGTATTGATATGGACGAATATCCTGAGGGCTCTGTCCCACAGGCTGATTTCCAATATCCAGTGCTGAAATAGTGATAGTAAAGGTTAAATGCTTTTTATAACTTATATATTGGAGATGACATTAACTCCATTTGTTGTGCATAATGGATTAATAAGGCTATGAATGAAGATTGGTTTGATTTGGGTTGTGAATAAAAATGGTTACCATTTGCAATTAAAAAATTAGATATCGTACATTCGTACTGTATTTGTATAAAAAAAATTATTTACAATTTTTGTTTAAAAAAACACAGGCAGATTTAACAATATGTATGGAGTGCAAAACCCTCGGTAAAATGTTTTAGACCAATACAGTATACATAAGTTGATAAAAAATGGCTCCATGTAAAGTAGAATTTAAGAAACAGTTTTGAGGTGTTTAACTATGCACAATGTAGTACCGGTAACAAATGATTTTGTGGATCAAATACTGATACTAATTGTAATGCTCAACTAGAAGATAACTTTTTGATATTGATAGTCATAATTCATAGCACTGACTGATAACCCAATATGGTATTGTAGAAAAATAGTTATAACTATGTTAAAAATGTGCTTGTTCGTTAAGTGGTTCATCGTAAAAACTGGTTAATATCTTTCCTCCTTTCCTTTATAGTATTTTTATAACGTTTTTGTGACAAACTCAAATATGAAGTTAAAAGATAAATTAGAACTGTACAACTACATGCATTTACATTTTTTGAGTGAGGATTTTAATAATCCTACGGCAACACAGGACAGTGTGCTTCGTAAAGTGGCCGCACCTTTTGAATTTCCGCTGAGCAAAGATGACAGGAATGACATAATGCTGTTCAAGTACAGCTTTGACGAGAGGGAATATTTGGGAAAAATAGACAGAGTGTATTATTCAATATCCGGCCCACAATTAGGTATATCAAAACGGATGATATACTTCATGGTTCCGTTTGGAAGAGGGGTGGTCCAACCCTTCCCAAGGTCGTACTGGCTAAATCCGTCTTGGGAACCGATTAAAGAAGAAGTGGAAGAAGTAGTCACTTTTGACGATGAGCCAATTGTTGATGTAAAAGACGACACAGAGGAAGCTTACGAGATGTGCCTGTCCACAAATATGGCCGGCAAAGTAAGAAGACATAGGAGTATAAAGTATACGGCAACTTTAGTGAATGGGAAGAAGGTTACAGGAGAGGCCCATGGATTAACCGCAAGAATAATTCAGCACGAGATTGATCACTTAGACGGGAAGCTATTGGTCGACCACGTCCCTCGAGAGGAGTTGATTACCGCTGAGGAATACAAGAAAAGACGCAAGGAAGCGTGGGGAGGCAAAAGCTGGATGAATATGCAGGAAGAACTGAAAGCAGAGCACGAGGCGCTTAAAGCATCATATCCAACACTTTTCAAACCAAAGAAAGTCAAACAGAAGAAGAAGAAGAAAAAGCATTAATGTTGTGTGGTGTATCACTCACTATATTTGACCAATTATGGAAGTTTTAAAGACTCAAAATTGGAACTAAGTATTTAATTTTGTACATACCATTAAACATTAAAATAAGCAGTTAAAATAGGTAGCAATAATGTAGTTTTGAAACTATTTGATAACATTCTAAATTTGAATTTAATATTAATTCTCTTGTTAATACAGTATGATGAAATACAATGAAATAATCTAGGATACTGTCAAACAAATGTTATTTTAAAGAAGACGGATTCAACAGGCTGTTTGATTGTCTCAGTAGCTGAGTGGTTATAGTGCTTACCTTTAAATCTGAACATCACTGATTCTTTTACCAGCAGGAGCGATTCTGGACCTAGATGCCGTTTGTCATTGTGTTGGGCTATCAATTATTAATACTAATATGTAACAAAACACCAACATTACAAAATAAGAGAAGACAGGGAAAGTAAAGACTTTACAAAGTACCCCTAGATTGTATGTCTATCTTAGAATAATTTACTAAAATACAGCAATTAGTTCACAATGGTTGGGTTTGAAAGACAAACATTTTACCTACTTAAATTATTCTTCTAGGTTTGTGGTTTACTTATTTGTATAGGTACTAGCTGTCCCAGCTTTGATTTATTGGTGTCTGAAAAGGTTAGAATGCATAAGGAAAATATATATAGATATATATATTCTATAAAAACTTACAATTTTCTGTATGTGATCATCAATTCGGTGTAATGTGCATACAAAACGTAATCTGTGATTCGGTTCAGGCAAGCATAACTTAATCTCGTCAACACAATTTTCCAGAATAAACCCAAATTGTTGAGCCTCAAGTAGTACTTTCTTATAGCTAGTTAATAAAATGAATAAAAACCTTTTATTCTATGGAGAAAATTACAATTATTATTAGGCTAGTAAAAAGAATAACATTATTTATAGCTTTTGAATTGACTATGATTTTATACCTGTCCATGGACAGTCAGATTAATTTATCAAGTACTGTTATACTGTTCAGTGAAATGGCGACAATACAAAGTAGGTATTTTAAAGTAAAATATTTAAAAATACTCAAGCAGCTTGACAGCCTTGATTCATTATCTTATCTCAGGGTCAGATTGTAGTTATTTGTATGTTATCCCACCCACAGCTGGTTTCATGAATTTCAAAAGAACAAATTCTAATGAACATTATGTCAAACAATAGGAACCCATTTTGATGTTTGCTAAGAAATCCGAACATGGTTGACGTTAGTGAGCTCAAACGCTCTCTACCTCCTTACAGTGTTGCAACTGTTGAAGACCTCAAAAAGAGTAATGCAAGTGAATTGCCCATAAGGAAAAAATCTGAACATTTTCAATTCCCTTTGAATATTCAGGACAAATTCGATGTGGTTCTTGTCATGGAGAAGTTTAGGAAACAGAAGTTCTATTCGGGATTGGCAGCGCCACAGCTAGGAATTTTGAAACGTCTGATCGTCTTCACCATTCCTAGGAGCGAAACCAATGATTTGTGCAGAACTAAGGTGTTTCTTAACCCAACCTATGAGAAAGTAGGTGATGATATGATTGATGACATTGAGTGTTGTGCATCTGTAAGGAATGTGGTTGCGTCTGTTCCAAGGTATGCGAGGATCCGCTACCAAGCCTTTGATATCAAGGGAGGTTCAATAGAAGGAGAGGTGACGGGCACAACAGCTCAACTCATACAACACGAGGTCGACCACCTTGATGGCAAGTTGTTCATCGATCTTGTTTCCCCAGACAAGTTGATGAGTGTCAAGGGCTACATTAGATTTTTAGAAAATAAAAACTTTCAAACCGAGAGTTCAAATTAACTGACGTTTCAATATCAGATCTTGCACTTTACTTGTTCACTATTAATTCACTAAGACAGTGACATACTTTATTTTAGGATGGATAAATGCAGGGTGAGACTAAATAAAAATTCTATTCTATTCTAAATACTGACTGAAACTAGCTGTTTCATTAGTCTGTACTATTTATTAAAAGCCCAATGATCAAGGACAGCTTGGTCTATAGTTTTGAATTATCAAAAAGCTAGAGACGTTACTCAGTGTCAAACCTTTTAATTAGTGAGTAAGGGCCCTTTCAAACAAGGCCACTCCACTGGTTGCCCACCACAGCTTACACATTGTTTTAAATGGGGGCTTTCAGACGAGGCCAATACAATTGCCCGTCAGGACACAGTGGCCGAGCAGTGTCTCCTCGCACAACTGCTAGCGGCTCGTCGTGGGGCATTAAATTAAATGGGAGCCTTCAGATGAAGCCAATAGCGGTTGTAACAGCAGAAACGCTTGCACCAATTATTTTGGATTGGTTTCGAGTTTAACTGTTTTGTTTGTGTTAAGAAATGAGTGAGCAGAAGAAAAATAAATATGACGTTGCGGCAAACGAAGAAGAACATAAACGAGAAGAACGGAATACAAGACTGAACAAACTAAGAAGACAAAATTAATACCTAGTAGGCCTACTGAGGATCTAATTTGCGAGATTGAAAAGTATCCGTTAAATTGAAATAGTACAAAGGAAGAATATGCTAATAAAATAGAAAAATGCAATTTGTGGCAAAGCGTTATAACAAGCGTTTTCTCAACTAGTTATACGGTGGCTATTGGTGGAGTGGCTTGTCAGTTGCGTGTACCATCAACCGTAGTTGCCTGGCTGGTAGCCAGTGACTACTAGTGGTAGCCACCAGTGGCCTCGTGTGAAAGGACCCTAACCGTTCAGCTATGATTTGTTGACACATAAATATAAAGTAACTTCAATATATTATACATATAAAGTTTCAAGCTGACCTTAAGTTTTCCTGTGGCTAAGTTATAGTAATCTAAAATTGTGCTAGAATGAAAGGAGGCCTGGCTTTCAATTCTGCCAAACAATAGCAGTTTGCTATGAAATAATACTGAGACCCAATGGATGGAAACCCACCTTAAGACTTACTTCCACGAATCAAGAAAAAAGATAAGAGCTGTAATCCTTGAAGACTATGTTAGCATACGCACATTTTAATACGGGTAATTTCTTTTGATTTGTTTAGTCCATACAGACAAAGGAAACTCTGCATAGAGACTCCTTCACAAAAGGTCATACAATAGTTGTATATTATATGTAAGTAATGTAGGCCTAATGTTGAGTTTGTAATTTTATAAACATTAAAAGAAGGGTTAATGAATCATAGTACTATGTAAGTGCAACATATATTTCCACACTTTAATATCCATTAATTAAAAGATGGAAAATATCAATTTCGCCTCAGATGACGTTATTTATTTTGTTAGATATATAGTTTATTTGTCTGTCATGTCACGTAATGGGTAAAATGAAAAAAAAACTCATATAAATTAGAATACAAAAATATTTATTTTTATCTTTAAAAATTGTTTTTGGTACAATTTTCATTACAAATCAAGAGGTGCTATGAAAAAAAAACACAAATGTGAAGTGACTTCAGTTCAAGGCAATAAAAAAACAAAATCAATAGGCCTAACTTACTACATAAAATTGATATATGGACACATAAAATATAAGCACTACTGTCGCATAAGCAAATGAATAAAAAATATATTTTTACATTTCAGTGTTATAATATTTATCCTCACAATGAGCACTAAAACAAAAATTAATAAAATATTAGGTCTTGTAAATAGTAGGCCTATATTTAAATAATTTATAGTTCAATAAAAAACATAATATTTTAATACATAATTGGTAGAAAACCAAGTGGTTTTATAGGTGAAAACCAAATGTAAATATAAATAATAATAAAAATTGATAAAAGAAGAGCAACAGTTATAATAATTACCGTAACTAAACTTCAAGTATAGGTACTATAAATTCCCCAATGCTACAAAAATATTTTTATTGGTAACAATATCATCAATATGATTTTAAAAATATTAGTGCTAATATCATATAAATAACCTATTCTACTGGTTTAATGCACGTCAGTAGTAATTTGTTATCATTAAAATAAATCAAATGCTGCAAACAATTAAGAGAATTAAAATTTGCATGCAGGCCTTAAGAAAGTTTATAACAATAAAATACTGAATAGATCAAATATTATTTGACTAAAATAAAACTATAACCCTAAAGTATTAATATAAAGTGGCCAGTAAAAAAACGCACATTAGAAGTACAGTAGAACCCCTAACATCCGGCCTCGGAATTTGCGGTCTACGTATCTGGTCACTTCCCAGAATCAAAGCCAAAAATATATTCCACGGCTGTACCCGTAGTCTCCATGATTTAAGCGTTCTCATGGTTTATCTGTTTCCTGTTCATATACATTTTTAGCGGATTCACTTCTCAGCTGAGCTTGTAGATTCCAAAAAGAGACTTAACACTACTTTTAACCAATGGCAAGTTGTTATTAGATACAAATTATCGTTTTAGCGAATTTCCCATAAAGGGAATATTAGCCAATTTCCCATATAGGGAATAAGCTATTACCACAGTACTCATGGTAAGACCTGGACCCGGGACCGATTTACTTTTTCGTTTTGAGTTGCCTAGAGACCAAAAACACCATCCGTTCAAATTCATATATATGTATATATATTTATTTATATAAATATATATGTATTTATATATGTGTCCGTTAGCGCGATAACTCGAGCAAAAATCATCCAATTTCGATGAAATTTGGTACAAATGTGTAAACCTATGTTTATTCGAACGAGTTCGCGAACCAGCATGATCAGACAATAGGAACAGGGGTTTATGGGGGGTTTTATGGGGCAAAAATTGGTTTTTCACATTTTGGACCCTAAAACATGAAATTTAGCATTTTCTTTCCAAACCATTTTGTAGAGCTTAAAAAAACAAATAATTTAGTATATTGATGTGTTATCATGCGCCTAATGGTTACGGAGAAATTTCTAAAAAACTGTAAATTTAAAATTCCCATGTTATTATTATGGAGAATAACTGTTGTAGTTTGCTTGTTTATTATCATATTTTGATCAAATTTGGAAAATGCATTCATTTCATACTAAACTATTACCATTTTACAAAAAAACACCTTTTTACCCTCCCTGTTGCAGCAAACCTAAGTACTCGTTAAACTAATGTTATTTAAATAGGGAATAAATGTGATATTTTTAAGGAGTCATTTTAGTGTAAATCCAATCAGGCAAATGGAAATTCGCTTAGTCTGCAGGTTTGCTGCAGCGGGGGTATTAATAATAGGTTGGTTTATCCGGCCAGGGGCTCGGTTCCACATAGGCCAGATATGAGGGGTTTTACTGTACACTGTAATTGTTACAGTATTTCAGTATATTTGCTTTGTAAATAAAGTTTGTTTAAGATAAAAATAATTTTAAAATTAAATATCATATCGTTTTCAAAACTATTGTTTGGTTATGTTACAAAAATTTATCTAGCAACGAGCATCATTCAATGTGGTTTTATGGTTTCAGCAATTGCACGTTAAGGTTTTACATAAAAATTTTAAATTTCATAACACTATCAGTCTTTATAAAACTCTAATTAGTTAAATCACAATTGTTTGGTCAGTCAAATGGTCATAAACTTATTCCCCCATTTGAGACATGGTACACAATGCATCCCACAAAAGTATGATTTGCCAACTGCATGGAATACATGTACCAGACTATTACTCTACAATACATGGATATAAAATCCTTTTTTGTGGTAATCTACCACATTTTCTTGACGCTTCTAAATGGTATTTTGTTACAATCCATCCATTCGATGACTGGCAGACCGATCGCAGTGACACATTCCAAAATTGCCAAGGCATCGTTTTCAGCTCTATGAGCATTCACAAACTCCTTTTTTGTAACTCTTTCATATATCGCGCTCAAGGTAAATTTGGGTTTCTGTTTTTTAGCATCACTTAAAATCTTCCTCTTGGCATGGTCACCCACTGGATACGGAGTAGTTCTTGGTTTTCTCTCTGGGGTGGTCTCGTTAGCTTTCCTCATCTTCTCCATTTCTAGTTGGATTCTCTGTTCTATTTCCTTTGCATTGAAATGATCATATTCTTGGGTGATTCTTTCTGCGACTTCCAAAGTTTTAATCATCTCTAGGTCGTAATCTTCTTGTGAGAAGCCACATTTTGGTACGAGATCAATGGCTCTGTAGGCTACAGGGCTGACAGGAACGTTGCTGGTAGACTCTAGTGGTCGAATATCGTTGAACACATCACCATTTTCTTCACACTTTGGAGAGAGGAGTTCTCGAAATCCAGGCAGTGTATCTACACAGAATATCTCTCCTGGGAACTCCTAAACAAAGCATGAGAAAGCGGTGTTCGGAAATTAACAGAGTGATAATTAGTTTGTATATTTTTACAAATGATTACACTTACAATATATGGTTTTTTGCCACATTACTCTGTTTTAATGGACTTTCCACACAAGGATTTAGCCAGGAAAACAGCTGTTTGCCGCCTACTTAATCAAAAGGGATTTCATTGACTCCTATTTTCCAGACTGAGACTAGTAATGTAATACTGCACAGTACAGTATGACAAATACATTTTTACACTTTACACAAATACACATAAATACACATATACATAAATACACTTTACCTACAGTCCCACTCGGCTTATACATAAACCAAAGTGGTTCCCCATGTATTTCTTATGGGAGTTGAATTTGGTTTTTCTTTTCCGAGTTCGTTTGGCTCTTCTACCCAACCGATATTTATGATTAAGGTCTCACTTTGAAGGTATGCACACACAGATTTCACATCAAGCATCGGCCTATATTTTATCTACAGTCTACCTCGCCTTAAACGTAAACTGATTTGCTCCCCATGTATTTCTTATGGGAGTTAAATTTGGGTTTCTTTTCCGAGTTCGTATGGCTCTTCTACCCGACTGATTTTCATGATTGAGGTCTCAAATTGAAGGTATGGACGCACAGATTTCACATCAAACATCGACATATATTTATCTACACTCCCACTTGACTTATACGTAAACTTTTGCTTCCCATGTATTTCTTATGGATGTTAAATTTGGTTTTTCTTTTCCGAGTTCGTTTGGCTCTACTACCCGACCGATTTTCATGATTGAGGTCTCAAATTGAAGGGTATGCGCGCACAGATTTCACATCAAGCATATATTTATCTACATTACCACTCGTCTTATACGTAAGCTAAATTTGCTTCCCATGTATTTCTTATGGGAGTTAAATTTGGTTTTTCTTTTCCGAGTTTGTATGGCTCTTCTACCCGACAAATTTTCATGATTGAGGTCTCAAATTGAAGGTATGCATGCACAGATTTTACATCAAGCATTGGCAAATATTTATCTACACTACCACTCAGCTTATACACAAACTAAATTTGCCCCCCATGTATTTCTTATGGGGGTTATATTTGGTTTTTCTTTTCTGAGTTCTAATGGCTCTACTACCCGACCGATTTTCATGATTGAAATCACAGATTTTACATCAAGCATGGGCATATATTTATCTCCAGTATTACTCATGAATTTAAAAAAAAAAGAATTGGATTTTTTTGAATTCTTCCTACAATTTAAGGTGTATTTCACCAATTTTATTATATAATCCTATATATTTTGGTCTTAGAAACTTCATTGAAATACCGGCTTTCATTTAAGCTATTAGTTATTCAAATCGGACGAGTTTCAAGCAAATGCAAGATGAACAACCAACATAAAAATTATTTTTATAAGGTTTTTCTATGATTAAAAAAATCAATAGCTCTAGTATTGTTGATGTTTTTTTTTTAGACTCAAAATAATCAGTAAATTATAGGCTTTAATTTGAACTATTGATCGTTTAAATCAGTTAAATTCAAGATACTGTATTACTCAATCAAAAATCATAAATTTTATACTTTCTCGGGTATGATTTTTATTTCAACGCAGCAGGGCAGAATGGGTCCTCTAGTTCAGTGTTTCCCAACCAGTGTGCCGTGGCACACTGGTGTGCCGGTAGGCCTCTGTAGGTGTGCCGCGAAATTTGAAGTAGTTAAAAAACTTTTGATGTCGTAATAGAGGTGCTTTAAGTGCGGTTGCGCGTTCATGAGAACACAATCTTTTGTGTAGAATTACTTGTCAGTGTTGAATCCATGTTTCCAATTTTGAAAAGTCTGCGTCTGTTTGAAGGAAATATAAAAAAGTACTTCTCATCCCTTGATATTTCGAACATTATTGCCACCGGGACTGATGTACGAATGATATGATAGGTTCCGTACCTTTTTATTCCGTGTCCAGTCCTTAAAATAGTCAAGGGTGACTAGTTTCGGGTCATAAATAACCCATTTTCAAACCCATGTCATCAAATTGATTGGTCCATAAATCTGATAGCAGCCTTCGTTATAAGATACAAATACACGTCATCTTGTTAATTAAGCATAAAGTTCAACATTAAAAATTACATTCAACATTAAACATAAAGTTCACACATTTTTAACACAAAATACATTTAATGAAGGTAGCCGGCCACATTTATAAGGAACACACTGACGCAGGTAGCACGGCGGACACGACTGTGGTCATGATATTTTTGTCACAATATTTTTGTAGAAAAGTGTGCCGTGACTACAAACGTGTTCTAGTTAGTGTGCCCTGAACGGAAAAAGGTTGGGAAACACTGCTCTAGTTAGTAATTATAGCTAAATGTATTGCTGGCAGTCACTATAATGTAGAGTTTGGTTTAAATGTAATTAAAAAATTATAGAAATACATTTTAAAATCCAGAAAAATAGATAGGCCTAGGCTAGCTTGATAAAAAAAGAAAAAACCCAAATACAATATTTAAACATTGAGAGTATTAGCTAGGCCTACCTTTCCAATTTTCAGAAGCTCAGACTTCAAAATGGGATAGTCGAACTTGTTGCCGTTGTGAGCAACAAAACATAATGGTTTCTCCAATCTGTCCAGGAACAGTTTGAGGATATTGAATAAGCCATCATCAAAAGGTTTTACGTGTTCCAAATTTTCATTCGTCAAACCTGCAACCAAGGTATGAACTGTAGCGACTTACAGATATTGTAGGTAATAGACCTAGTAGGAAGAGTATAATTTGTCGCTTACAAGACGAAGGGGCGTAAGTACCGTACTTAACATTTTGTATGTACATACGCCTCTTCGTCTTGCAAGCTCCAAATTGTGTAGTATAGGTTGCCCCTCATAAATGTTCTAAATGAAATTTCTTATGAAATCCCTATTGAGAAAACCGCTACCGTTAGTGAAAACAAAAATCAAAAGTTTTTTTTACAATAGACTTTATAGGCTTCTTAATTACTGACAGGGTTTCTCATTGTGACCTGTGATAGGTCTCACCCATAATGATCCACACTCTTTGTAAAAATAAAACCAAACAACTTTGCCGTACCCAGCAGCTGTGGCAGGCTGTAAATTCATATAATCACACCAAATTTGTAGGCCTACTTAAAACGTACCAATCACAGCTGAAATCCCACCCTAGGCTGAAGAGGACATAGTCCTATAACCGCCACAGTAGGTTAGCCCCACTTGAACGTCACGAAGAAGCTGGTTTTTTATCACTACAGTAGGCCTAGTAAAAAATGCCTTGTTGAAAATTCCTTGGTCTAACCAACCCCTATTATGTAGCTCATTATTATGATACAAAAAGGTTATGTGAAAGAAGGGTAAAACTTTGATATCCAACTACATCGGAGGTCTAAAGTTTGGTTTTTAGGTCAAGTTACCTTAATAGGTAGGTTACCTTTATGTTTGAAAATACGGATATCAAAGTTTTGCTAAGTATATTCTCCTCCAACGTTACTTCCGCAAACTGGATTGCCAAAGATGTTACAGGTCTGGCTCATCAACAATTTATTGTTTTTATTATGTTATTCAATTGGGAAGTTGAATCCACCGATCAAAATGTAATTTTTATGATTCTTCTTACAGTTTTTTAACACTGAATCAGAAAATGCAATCAGTTTCTAATTGAAAGAGTGATAAGTGTCAACAAATTTGAAGTTCATTGAATTAAGCGGAACAGCAGTTGAAATGGAGGTTTGCGTGAGTCCAATTTCTAGTGGCAAGGAACGTATGTGGAGAGCGAACAGCTGTGTGATGCATATATGTGATGCAAAACAAACAAAACCACTAAACGCCAATACTGTAGCGGTTTGGACAAGAACTAGAGGCTAGGGGATGATGAAGAGAAGAAGATTCGCTCAATCAGTAAAGGCAAAGGCTTTTAGAATGCTAAGATTACCAATTGTCAAAGTAATATAGAAATTCAGCTGAATGGATAATCATCACAGACTAATCAGATCTTATTCACTTAGGCATGTGATTTGTGTTTACCTATATCGAAACTAGTTGTTTTCATACTCAAATGGCGAAATTGTTCACCCGAATCCTGGACGTAAAGAAATTAGTGTGTTTACCACAGTAGCTGCTGAAATATCTATAGCCTACTGTAGGCTATTTCTTTTATATACTACATGTACCTGTAGACATATTTTGTCAGGAATATTGTTAAGTATATTTTGATCTAAGTGCAAAATAATTGTAAAGATGTTTATAAACTCATAGATGGGAGTTTCTATGGATAAACGTTGTTTTGTCTCATTAGTTTCATAATCAAATTGTGTTTGGTGTCATTATGTTTTAAAATTTACGAATGTTGCAAGTATGCATGTTATAACTATTGAAATTTGTGTTACAAAACAGCAGTTGCTTACTGGACGTCCCACTCTGTGAAACATCTACCTGGCAGCCGGGCTAACTGTGTTTGTGTGTGTGTGTGTGAGTAAGGGTCTCCTATCCGTCAGGTCACACGGCTGTTTGAACACACTGTAGTTTAACATTAAACTTTTACTACAACAAATCAAGTTTTTAAAAAACTATGGGTTGAACCTCAGGGTTTATATGCTTACAAGTTGTTAAGTAAATTTTGTGTATTTTGCATTCATTACAATCCCATCCTGACTAGCCTACTCCGTAATCAAGGCACGATCCTGCATCACGGTAACACAATGATCATCTACACATCGTAAAGATTTGTCCAAACGTGGGTGGGCTAGGTCGGCTCTTTGCCAATTACGGCAATATTATAAATATTGGATCACAAACAATTTTCATACATTTTCTACGATCCTAATTCTGTACTATTCTTTCTGGTGCTCACTCGGCCGTTTGGGTAATAAAAAGTTTGGATATGGATACAAAAATATTTTAAATATTATTTGATCTCTTCCCGTAACCCATCACAGTTGCCCCCGCAGCCACTGGTACATGAAGTTATTGATTTATATTCCCTTCAGACTTTTTTGTATCATTGAAATAATAGAATAGCCTAAGTTAATCACTTCAAAAATAAGTTGCTTGCATTTTTAAAATAGTTCATTTGTTGTGTTAACCCCACTATTTAAACGGTGTAAAAAAGTCTGGAGATTACATACATTAACTTAATAACTCGGTTCATTACAACCTAAACTTCAACCAAACGAACCTCATCTAACCTACCGTCAAAGGTCTTAAGAGGCCTAATCACAAACCCACATAAAGCCTGTCCCATCTTCCTTACAGCGTAGGTAGGGTGAGTGCACCAGTGAATGACCACCCTCCAGTGAATGACCGATTTGTATAAAAAACATCATATCAGGCTTTCTGTTTTTCCTAGTCTATCACAAACAGTTTTAAAAGTTACTTTGAGGTCTTATTAATATACACTCTTTGACTTATTAAAAAAGAAAGTGTCAATCATCCTTTTGTAACAAATACAAAATTAGATGTTTCAAAGCAGTTCATTATTAAGCTTCCCACTATGGCGTCTCACACAAACATGGTTGGTTGTAACTTGTCATGGTTCCTTAATTATTGATTGGAACTGTAATATATTACATGTAATTCACAGTTAACATGTTAAGGTATAATTCTGTACTCATTTAATGATCAAAATCCTAACCAATCGTGTATTTTAACAGCCGGTCAATTACTGGTTCACAAATTAGAGTATAACCAGTGAATGACCGTTTCGTTCATTAACTGGATTTGAGTCAATTTTCTTTATTAATATTGATGACAATGTTTTCTGATGGAGTAAGTGATTGCTAGGAAACAAAAAATCTCATCAGAAATTATGTGGATACACTATAACCAAAGTTTGAATGCGAGTTCAATCTTACGGCCATTTCTTAGATAAAAAGTGATCCTTCACTAGAACCAATATTTTAACGACCCTGATATCGTTATTTTTCACTACAGTGTTTACAGCTTTGATGCGAAAATCTTGAACGGGGGTCATTCGGTGAAAAGGAAGAGGTTTAATACAATTTTAAAATTGTTATATAATATGCGGTCATTCACTGGTGCGATGACTTATGTGCAAAAAATTGTATTTTTCGATAATTTCTTTTAACATAATGCATTAAGTTGTATCATCGGGAAGTACAGGGAAATATGGGCAATACATTTTAACGATTTCGTACAATGTAGCTTAGTAGTATATTTTCCCATGTCGTTTACAAGTAGAAAGTCAACCTTAACCGGTCATTCACTGGTGCACTCACCCTACCAGTACCTTTTCTGTCATCAATAAAAGGTTAGGTTAAGATAAGTTTGGTTAGAAGAGTTTCATTTTATCCCTTATTCTGGTTTAGCAAGGATTATTTCAAGCTATTATGATTATAAATCATTACCACCAGGTTTTTTGTTAATGTTGTCATTTTATGGTTTTGTTTTTTCATGTTTTATCTTACAACACAAGTAAACAGCTGTTTGCACTCCCAATTATCTCCCTTCCTTCAAGTAGGCCTATTAGTTAGTTGCCGTTAGATCTCAGACTTGCCCAAACCACCAATGAATGGCTCAATAAGCTATCAATTTGTAACCTTGAGATTTTATTTTTGGACACTAAGGAGTAGTGATGTGACGAGTCGAGTACAATCCCAACTCGAGTTTTAATTTTGACTTGGTACCGCAACTACTCGAGTTCTGGACTCAATTCTTACTCGAATAGCACAGAAGTTCTGTTGAGTGAGTGTTGACTCGCAGCTGCAAATGCTGGAAATGAATCTTGTCTTGACTCGAGTCAGACAGACTCGCCTCGGACTTGTTTTATACTCTGAGTTGATTTAAGATGAGAGCAAAATAGCGAAATCGGTTATTCATCTCACATTGAGTTGATTATTATGGATTTTATTGGTTACCTATTATAAAACTTTGTTGAGTTAACAAAAAGTAAAATTTATAACACTTCAATAGTGTTAGGTATAAGTAAAATATAACACAAATAATTTTCTAAACTTTAAGTGACAATCAAACAAAATATTATGAAGTATTAAAAAAAATGTGTTAATGAGTTTTTTATATGTTTTTATATTTACATGATTTCTCGAATCGAGTACTTAGACGAGTATTAAATGCATACAAAAATTAGTAGGCCTATAGGTACATACCTGAAACTGCAGAGGCTGCAGGATGTATCATCTTGCAGGGATAGACAGCTAAATTTATCTTGTTTATCACTCTCGGTAAGTAACAATGACCAAAATTGTTTTCTTTAGCAATTCCATCATGTTTTGCCAAGATTTCTTCTTTACTGGTGGCAATAAAAGCAATTTCTGTAATTTTTGGGCTAGACGGAGGTAGTCCGGTAGTTTCCAAGTCAAAAAATACAAATGTTTTGACTGATTCCATTGCTTTGATTCTCCTTGCAGTACTTGAGTTTTACGTGATTGAAAAAGTTCACCTAGAACACCGAGAGTACGGTATAATTTTATTAAATAGCTTCACGAGGTAATTGAAACAATATAGAATCACCAACCTATAGCTTTAGGGCTAAAATTAACTCAACTCACTTCCCTAATCTACAACTTTCACATTCCAAATTCCAACCCCCTAAACTGTGCCAATGCCCCCACTTAATTGTGTTATTTTTATCACATCTTTACCCTTAACACAAGCCTACTACCATCTACTTCAAAACAGATTTCGCTTAGTTTAGTTACCTTACCTTGTTGGTTTGGTTGTGCAATTTCTGAATTTTTTAAGGTTGAGTTAACTTAAATACCTGAGGATATCAAAGTTAAAGTTCAATACAAATTCATATTATTCAGATCCAGAGCCGTGAAAATAAAACAGACGTACACCAGCCACCTGCCCACCAGCCAGCGTCCGTCCAGCACCAGCAGACGGTATTGAACTGGACTTTTGAGTTTGACACTGGGAATGGCACTGGACTGGCTAGTACGTTTTCTGTGTATACAACCTCACTAGTGGCTAGGCTACTGGCTAGCTCTAGCTGCTAGCTGACTGACACCTAGAGTATGTTTTATCTATGGTAGTGTGTAGTATGGACTATGTTTTATATGGTTTTATCTATGGTAGTATGAAGTGAGACTGAAGGAAGAGGAGGACTGCGTCACACCAAGCCCCAGCCTTCGAAGTGGTAACGTCACAAGTGGTTGTTTGGAAGCAGCTAAATGGTATTTGTGTTTATAAGCTTGGTTACTAGACTATGACAATTATTGACTCAGCTTAAATGGTACAGATATATATTAATTCATATATTGTTTCGGTTTTCAATTCTGTATGTTTTACTTTCAATATTTTAATAATTTATGTTCATAAATTGAAAACAATAAAGTGCGAATTAATGAGCTGATGTCACCTGTCTGCCATGTTATCTTATGGGATGTCTATCACTAAAAAACACCACTTGCAACGTTGCCAATTCTACCAGGCCGCGGCCTGTAGTTAAAGGCGTCCGTGACTGCGTAGTATAGCAGTGGAGTATGTTTTATCTATGGCAGTGGGTATCAATGGTACCAGAGCTATGGTACCAGCTTGAATAAAAATTTAACCAACGACTAAAATTCAACTTAAAACAATACTGAACTGACTCAACCTATCTATCTATCTACACTATTAAAAAGAAGTGGTGGTGTCATCTGTCTGTCTGTGTGTGTTTGTATGAGATTCAAAAACTACTAAACCGACTGGTCTTAAATTGGACAAAAATAAAGCTACAACAGCTCCGAGGATACATATAGAACTATTCCCGCTTCGATATTGACCTAAGACCTAGGACTTTGCTCCACGGGATTTCAAAGTTCTGAGGTGAGAGTTAAAAGTAAATATTGATTGGTCTCCAAGGCAACAAAGATCAAACAAAAAACCCACAAAGTTTAAATCAATTAAAGAAAGTAGAACTGTCAAAAGAATTTTGATTTCACATTTCCAACACAGCTGTTTTAAACATCAAATATATAAAATTCTCGTGTCACAGTGTTTGTCTGCAAACTCCTCCGGAACGACTTCACCGATCGTTATGAAATTTGGTGTGTAAATTCTGTAGGTATGCGAATAGAAAGTAAACTATTTCCCGTTTCGAAATTCTTAAAAGGGCTCCGCCCCAGTGGCTCTGGAGTTTCCCATGTTAACCTTATGAGAAATGGAATTAATGAATCTTAACAGCTGTTTCAATTAAACAAGTTGGTTCTGCTCTATGATGTTCAATAGCATTAAAGTTACAAGGATTACCAACAGGGTGCATCACTATTATTTCTTTTACATTTATGACAACAGCTAATTTGCAACCAAAAGGTGAGTGAGCGTAGCGAACGAACTTCAACCTGGAGGCAAGTGAGCGTAGCGAACGAGCTAACCTGAAGGCAAGTGAGCGCAGCGAACGAGCTCCAACCTAAAGGTGAGTGAGCGTAGCGAACGAGCTCCAACCCAAAGGTGAGTGAGCGTAGCGAACGAACTTCAACCAGGACGTGATTGAGCGATGCGAACGAGAGAGGCGAGTGAGCGTAGCGAACGAGCTCCAACCCAAAGGTGAGTGAGCGTAGCGAACGAACTTCAACCAGGACGTGATTGAGCGATGCGAACGAGATCATCTTGAAAATTAAACGTAACGGTACTTTCTTTCCATCGGTCTGTCTTAGGGGAAACCTATAACTTAGGCGATACGAAGTTCGCCGGGTCAGCTAGTCTATATATATAAAAGGCAAAACCCTCACTGACTGACTGACTGACTGACTCACTCACTCACTCATCACTAATTCTCCCACTTCCCACTTACCTAGGAGGCTGAAATTTGGTACACTGATTCTTTAGGCATTAAATAGGAAAACTAAGTGGTTTTTATTCTGATCGGACTCTCGGGCTCCGCCCCAGTGGCTCTGGAGTTTCCCGTGTTAACCTAATGAGTACTCATATTTAAATGGAATTATTGAATCAAGGCCCAATTCACACCGAACGGACGTCGGGCGGAGACGTGGCACGGACGTGGCGAGGACATATGTCCGTTCCTCGCCTCCCCATGTAAACAAATTGGTCAATGCACACACAAGTGACGTGGCGCGGGCGGCCGCCCTCTCGCCACCGCCACGTCGCTTCGGCGTCCCTCGTGGCGTATCGGAAGTGGCATGTCCGTAGCGCGCCCGTTGTTCGGACTGCAAATATTGTACTATACTTACCAAACTTCTTGTGTATAGTGTGCTTGTACTTACCAACCTTGTTGTGTAGAGTTGTTTTTGTGTGTAGATTGTGAGTTGTTTCTTCAATATGTGAGATGACATTGAATTTAATATCAAATTTTGTGAGGAAGTAGAACAATTCCCTTGTTTGTACTAATTAAGTTGAAAGAAATTAACTAACACCATTAACATTAATAGAAATTAGCAAAAACCAAAGCGTCTAGTCTACATACAGGTTGTCTCGCCACTGTACCGTCTCTTCACCGTCCCTTCAGTGTGCATTGAACACGCCACGTCACTGCCACGTCTGTGCCTCGTCCGTGCCACGTCTCCGCCCGACGTCCGTTCGGTGTGAATTGGGCCTTAACTGTTTCAATTAAACAAGTTGGTTCTGTTCTGTGATGAAAGTTACAAGAATTACCAACAGAGTGCAGCTTTATTATTTTTTTAAATATTTTACAACAGCTAATCTTAAACCAAAAGTGAGTGAGCGTAGCGAACGAACTTCAACCCGGAGGCGAGTTAGCGTAGCAAACGAGCAACCGTAAAGGTGAGTGAGCGTAGCGAACGAACTTCAACCAGGACGTGTGAGCGCAGCGAACGAGCTCCAACCTAAAGGTGAGTGAGCGTAGTGGACGAACTTCAACCAGGACGTGATTGAGCCATGCGAACGAGCTCACATATAAAGTTAAACGGGGCAAAGCCCGCGGGTACAGCTAGTATTAAATAAAGGGTATGGACTCCGCCCGAATCTAAACATTGTCATTTAACACTAGCTGGCCCGACAGACGTCGTCCTCCTAATGTGGTTTTATGTCAAATGTTCATTTATTTTCAAGATGAGCTCGTTTGCATGGCTCAATCACGTCTGGTTGAAGTTCGTTCGCTACGCTCACTCACTTTTTGGTGAGTTCGCTGGACCTACTCCACTCCATGGGTGCGAGGGAATTGAAACTGTACACAGTATTTTAGAGCTTACACCAAGCTATGAATATGAAAATATCGTATTAAAATTAAACATTCCCCTTCCCTTCCAAATCGATTCCCTCCTTATATCTATCTTTCTTTGTTATGGCCACCACCACACCACAAGTGCATCGGTATAATTTACATTTACGTTCACCCACTTCTAGAATTACTGGAGATCTGAATACCGAATCTGAATATTGAATACAGGATTCTTATTCCTGAAGTATTCTTAGAAATATTTATGTGATGGAGTATGTTTTATCTATGGTGATAGCCAAATCTGGCAAATGGAAATCCGCTTAATTTGCAGGTTTGCTGCGTTGGGGCTGTTTTATAGTGTACATCGAATGTATGAAATATCCTCTAAAATGTTCCATTGTCAATTTGATTGACTCATCAAATATACTTAAAAAACAATCCATTTTATTTTTTTTAAGTATATTTGATGAGTCATTCAAATTAACAAGGGAACATTTTAGAGGATATTTCATACAGTGCTCACTACTTTCTTTGGACCGCAAGAGGTATATTTGATCCGATAAGAGTGGCAACAATGTTCCTTGTTTCATTTCTGTTTCTACGGCCGGAAAAACTATGAAAACGTGCTCATTTGGTGTTTTAAGGTTATGTTGAGTTAGTAGTAGCGGTCGGTTGTGATTGTAGTTCCTTTACAGTAGGCCTACCCTGATTTTAGTTTTGAGTTTTCGTTATAAAAATGTTGGTCTTATTCGAATCACCAGGAGGATATGCTATCTTCAAGGTGAGTAGACTATTGTAGTTGAGGATTAAATCGATTTAACAGTCTTCACGTCTAGGCCTTCTTCACATTCTTCTGCTTAGGCCTAGGCCTACAGGGTCTAATATAAACTTGCCGAAAAATATCCGACAAAGTCTAGCGGTCAATTAAGTGGTAGACCTAAAGGAGCAAATGGGGCCGTTTACATGCAACCGCTTCCATGCTTAGTTTTGGAGTTACTAAAGTTGGCATGAGAGCGTACACAACTACACATGAGGGCGGTAGCCGCCGCGATTGACTGCAGTTTCTACTAGGATCACAGACATCGGCGCACTCGCCCTGTGGACATCGTCCTCTGTAGTGTGTACCTGTAGCTGGATGTAGTGCTTGTAGTATAAGTTTACAATGGCCATGCAAGCTGCTGTGGAACCAGAAAACTTTAAACACTGAACTGTTCATTGAAGAAGTCCAAAAAAGAAGATGCATTTGGACATGCAATGCAACGAGCCTAAAAATCGGGTTTTGCGGGTCAAGAGTTTGTTGATATTTTTGCTGAAAAGAATTCTCAAGGGGAACAAAGTAAAAAATTAGGTAAATACTGTACTAGCTGTCGACTGGCGGTCAGCTCGTGCAACGCAACTGCGTGGTAGCCACGTCGGCAGCCGCTGCCATGTGTATATCACATCTTCATCGTCACTTACATTCTAACTTAGCTATTAACCTCAGTTTCATCGTCACTTGTCCAATATTCCCCCTAACTTAAAAGTTCGAAGTCCAGACATCTGGGTCATTTTTCAAAACGATCAAAACAGTTGTGCAAGTGCTCAATCTTGACATTGACTAGTGACTTAGTTTCAGTACTGAGAGGACCACGGCTACCGTCGAAGCAGCACTGTCGAGTACACACCCACATTGTCAGAAAATACAGTAACTTGTACTACTGAACAGTGCTGTGGGGAGTTTCAGATTTCTAGATCTAATCCAAGCTTTAAAATAAATCAT